TATCCAAACACTTACACACAAGTTATTGTCATGAAACTAGAAAAATGCTTGTTTTTTGCCCCTTTTTTGGCCCCTAATTCCTAAAATTTTGAGGCAATTACCCCCAAAATCAATTACAGCCTTTCCTTTGTGATATGGAACCTTGTGGTACAATGTCAGAGAGATCCATACACTTACACACAAGTTATTGTCTGGAAGTTACAAAAATGCTTATTTTTGGCCCCTTTTTGGCCCCTAATTCCTTAACTGTTGGTACCATAACCCCAAAAATCAATCCCAACCTTCCTTTCGTGGTATTGAACCTTATGGTAAAATTTCATGGAGATCCATTCACTTAAACTAAAGTTAGAGTGCGAAACCCAATGTGTCTTCGGACGACGCCGGACGACGCCAGACGACGACGACGACGACGACGACGACGCCAACGTCATACCAATATACGACCAAAAAATTTTTAATTTTTGCGGTCGTATAAAAACTACTTGATTGATACTTTCAGAAAAAAAATGAAAAACTTAGCAAATTCAAGCTAATTTTTCAATTTGCAAAGGGCATAATTCTAGAACAGTAAAGTGACAGCACTAAAATTCAAACTTGATCTGTATATTGTGGTAATAAGCATTGTGTATAAGTTTCATAACATTTGATTGAAACAAACTAAAGTTAGATTTTGATTTGATTTTTGGTGTTTTAAAGCCACTTTTAAGCACTGCTTTTGGGCTATTTCGTGGCGGCCAGTTTTTATTGGTGGAGGAAGCAGGAGTGCCCGGAGAAAACCACTGACCTTCGATAGGAAAACTGACAATCCTAGTCAATTAAGATTGGAGTCGAGTGCACCCGCACGAGCGGGGTTCGAATTCACAACCTCAGTGTTGACTGGCTAGTGATTACAGTAGTAACTACTTAGACCACTCGGCCACCGAGGCCCCCAACTGAAGTTAGAGAACAGAAACGAAAAATTTAGCAATTTTTCCATTTGTAAAGGGGCATAACTCTAGAACGGTAAAAGTGATGCCACCAAAATTCAAACTTGATCTGTATTTAATTGTAATAAGCATTGTGTATAGGTTTCATAACATTTGGTTGAGGCAAACTAAAGTTAGAGAACGGAAACCAACTTTGGGACGTAGGTACGGACGGACGTGAAGACGGACAAGGGCAAAACTGAATGCCCCTCCGCTACGGCGGAGGCATAAAAACCAACAGCCAGATAAATACTACAAAAATGAACGAAAAAAACAAATATGGCAGGCAGCTACTAACAATAATCACTGGATTACAGGTTTCTGGCTTGGGACAGGCACCTACGAAATATGACAGGGTTTGATATGTTTGAAGGTACTCAACCCTCCTCCTAACCTGGGATAGTGATGTAACAACACAACACAAGAACAACTGTGAAAGTTGGCAACTCTTTTATCGGTATCTCCTTTAGTTAGTGCCCGAAACAGCCATTTCTAGCAACGAGCAATTAAGACTTGAAATAAGTTTCAAACGGAAAAATGATAATAAGTTATATAATGGGAAAATATGTTCTCAAGTAAAATTTTGAATCTATACTCCCTTTAGGATACTAGTAACTGGTACCGGTATTCCCACTTTCTTGAATCTGCATAACATCTGATTTATGTTTCACAAACTTTTACTTATTTTTCAGAACAACAAATTAATGTCTTGTGGTATTTGCTATAGTAAAAATAAACACTTTGATTAGTTGTCTCATTGGTAATCATTACATATCTCCTTATTTTTTTATTGATTGCAGGGTTTGTTACTTGTTCTGGTGGATACAGTAAAATGTGTCCCCATGCTGGTGGTGTATGCCTTTACATTTGTCAGGGAGAGAACCGTCTACCTTTAGTTTTTATTATTTAATTTGTTCTATTTCTTTCAATTGATTGCATTGTATTATCTTGAACTCAATTGGATAGTTGTCTCATTGGCAATCATACCACATTTCCTTATGTAATACCATCATCTTAATATTAAAATTCAAAGACATTATCAATATTTTCTATATTTTAATAAATATTAACATTAACAATAAGAATGTACATAAATCATCAATCTTTTTCTGCATATAATGATACATACCAATTTAATGATGCAATACAATATATAATATTAAACAAAGGACTTGAAAACAATAGAGTAAAATCATGTAAAACAAATAAAAAAACAAATATCAATTGCAATAAAATGCTCCGCAGGGCGCAGCTTGATACGACCGCAGAGGTCGAACCCTGAACAGTTGGGGCAAGTATGGACACAACATTCAAGCTTGATACAGCTCTGAATTTGGATTGTGATTAAATATTTGACACAGCATAGGTTTCTGACACAGAATGAATGTGGTCTAAGAACTTAAAAATTTTAAATTGGACATTCACCTATTATGGTCCAATATACATGGTTAGATTCAGCATATCAAAGAACCCCAAGAATTCAATTTTTGATGAAATCAAACAAAGTTTAATTTTGAACCCTTTTGACTTCAATGTGGACAAAGTTGATAACGGGGCCCAAAAATCAAAAATCTAAATACATGGTTAAATTCAGCATATCAAAGAACCCCATATATTCAATTTTTGTTGAAATCAAACAAAGTTTAATTTTGGATCCCGATTTGGACCAACTTGAAAACTGGGCCCATAATCAAAAATCTAAATACATGTTTAGATTCAGGATATCAAAGAACCCTAAAAATTCAATTTTTGTTAAAATCAAACGAAGTTTAATTTTGGACCCTTTGGACCTTAATGTAGACCAATTTGAAAACGGAACCAAAAATTAAGAATCTAAATACACGGTTAGATTCGGCATATCAAAGAACCCCAATAATTCAATTTTTGATGAAATCAAACAAAGTTAAATTTTGGACCCTTTGGACCTCAATGTGGACCAATTTAAAAACGGGGCCCAAAATCCAAAAACTTAATACACGGTTAGATTCAGCATATTAAAGAACCCCAAGAATTCAAGAATAAAACCCCATTGAAATTGATCAAGAAATAAGCAATTTATACGAAGTACCTTCTTTTGCACAATACTGTGCAATTGAATATTTCTTGCTATTGCGCAATACTGTACAATTGACAATTTCTTGCTATTGCGCAATATTGGGCTATTGGATATTTCTTGCTATTGCGCAATACTGTGCAATTGAAGATTTCTTGCTATTGCGCAATACTGTGCAATTGAAGATTTCTTGCTATTGTGCAATACTGTGCAATTGAAAATTTCTTGCTATTGCACAATACTTATTATATAATAATTTACACATCCTGTTTGGTGTGTATCTCCTACCATATCATTATTATTTGCTTTTAAATATTAATCAGAAATAACCAACTTAAAATGGAAAATTTTAAAAGAAAAAAAAAAGTAAAAAAAGAAAAAAAAAGTAAAAAAAAATCCCCCCCCCCCAAATTTTTTGAACCCCCTTATGATTCATCACCCCCAAACTCAATCCCAGCCTTCCCTTTGTTGTATGGTACCTTGCAGTACAATTTCAGAGAGATCCATACACTTGAACACAAGTTATTGTCTGGAAACTAGAAAAATGCTTATTTTTGGCCCCTTTTTGGCCCCCAATTCCTAAACGTTTCGGGCAATTACCCCCAAACTCAATTCCAGCTTTCCCTTTGTGATATGGAACCTTGTAGTACAATTTCAGAAATATCCAAACACTTACACACAAGTTATTGTCATGAAACTAGAAAAATGCTTGTTTTTTGCCCCTTTTTTGGCCCCTAATTCCTAAAATTTTGAGGCAATTACCCCCAAAATCAATTACAGCCTTTCCTTTGTGATATGGAACCTTGTGGTACAATGTCAGAGAGATCCATACACTTACACACAAGTTATTGTCTGGAAGTTACAAAAAGCTTATTTTTGGCCCCTTTTTGGCCCCTAATTCCTTAACTGTTGGTACCATAACCCCCAAAATCAATCCCAACCTTCCTTTCGTGGTATTGAACCTTATGGTAAAATTTCATGGAGATCCATTCACTTAAACTAAAGTTAGAGTGCGAAAACCAATGTGTCTTCGGACGACGCCGGACGACGACGACGCCAACGTCATACCAATATACGACCAAAACATTTTTAATTTTTGCGGTCGTATAAAAAGTTATTCAAATAAATTCATGACTTCCTAGATCATGTTGTGTTACTTCATTCATATGGAGACACTTGCATACTATATTTGACTATACACCAAATAAATCATCAATGATTGCTTACAAAGTATTGAAAAAAATGGTTGCTGAAGAAGTATTAGTATTTATAGTAAAGAAAATGTCAACCTCATTATACCATCTATTAAATTATTGCGAGGTTTTTATTAATTGGAATAATGCCATCGGACAAGTATAGCAGTAATAAGAACTCATATTCTGATATTTGAAACATATAAATTTTTTCTGAAATCGCAATAGTTAACCTTGCATTAAAAAAAACACAATTATAAATGCATGCAATAATTTCTGAATTTACAGTATTAAGACTGCAAAGGATATTTCTCGTCCAGAACATGCATGAAATATTTACTACTGGACATTTAGCAACCAACAATCAATCAATCAATATTTCTTCAAGAAAAACATAACACTTCACCAAAAAACAACAATAAATAAACATGATGCATAAAAAGTATTTCAGGATGACATACTGTCAGTAGATCTTAAAAAGCAGGACAATGATACCTACTTTCGACTGAATGCTGAACAGCTCAGAAATGTTCCAATGCATGCAAAATTAGATAACCTTCAATCACACAGCACCTGGGATATATTTTTCTCTAACATTAACCTTAAAGTCATACAAACATCAAATTCAGTTCATGATAATCTACTTTTCAGATGGAACCTCATTACAAAATCAGACGATTCTCTTTTTAAGTATCTTATACATCTAACACATGGACATGGATATAGATGCCCAAGGTAGCCCAAGAAACCATCTCATTTGTTTTGAGGGGGTAAGGATCTTTTTTCAGGAATTAAAGATTGAGCAGTTTAATTCACTGGAACTTAGGAATAGCCAATTTATTTGTAGGGAACAGACACATTAGGAAGTCAGGAATTCAGAAATCCATTTAATTTCTCTGGGGTTCAGAATATAAGACCCCTCCTATCCCACCTGTTTGACATGACCTAAAATGTAATGTAATTATATTCATTATGAAAGACAAAATATAGACAGAGCTATCAGAGTTCATCTATTCAAATACAAACTTATCTATTTTATTTTACACAGTCATGCTGGTATGCTTGTTGCCACATAATTCAACCACAGCAAAAGGCCAGATACAAAAAATCACTTTTACACTTCCTTTGTTTATAACAAATGCATTTACAAAAATAAAAACTTATATAAAATATGAGAGTTGGTCCCTATCAATAGCTTAAGAAGCACAAAATCTGTAACTTCATTTTTATTGTATATTACAGGGATGTATGTATTCTACATATGAAAAAAATATTTTTCTCTCCATTGAGGCACTTTTTTTTAAAAAGGAAGGAGAATCAAAATTAGATATATATCAACTTTCTTTCAAACATAAACACCCCCCCTCCCAAAAAAAAAATCGGATCAGGTTAAAATAATGATGTTATATGGTAAAAGATATTAGTTTAAAAGTAATTTTCCTTGACAATGATGACAGCAGTATGCCAGTATATGAGCATACTTCATATAAAAATTAATAAATACATTTACCATATCTTCAAAACATCTATGGTATTAAAAAAAGTTTTAAATTCTAGATAAATTGATACATAGACCCCCCTCCCCACCATTCAGTTTCTATTCAGTAAACTATTGTATTGGGCATTTCAATGTGTTTAAAGCTAAAAAATTGTAAACATAACATAAAAAACATGAAAATACATACTATATAAAAATAATTACAACAAAACTGTAACACATGATTAACATAAAGATATATATATACACACAATATCACTATGCAAGCTTAAAATAATACTTAGGAATCCAATCCTGTTCAAGTACAATCGATACCCTGCTTATAAATTCATAATTAAAAAAAAATCTGGTAAATATCTTTTTGGTTTACAATCATGAGTTGTAATGCTGAAACATCATCCCAGAGTCACTGACTTATTTCTTGATTTTTTAAAATGAACACGTATACATACCCTTAAACCTTATAAACATATTTATTTCTCAAAGAATGATGCAAAAAATGTGCATAAAAAAAAACCATAATACAATATAAGTAAATGAGAATGTAATTTGAGTGTGATGTCTATGGTCATTTATTATAAATGATTCTGGCAGTAATAGAATAAACTCTATAGACCAAATGCTACACAACAGATATCACAATTCACAAGTTAAAGCTTTAACACATATCTGGGACTTGAAATCAAAATGAAATTAAAGCAGTCACTTTTGAAACCTGTATCAATATTCTAAGACTATGCATATGAATAAAATATGAGAAAATTACGGGACTTTGTAGCACTTGACACAATGACATTAAAGCAATCAAATGCATCGAAAGTTTATGATATGAATAAAATATCAGCAATTTAATTATGAATAGCTACATACACATTTGATTTGGTATAACAAATTAAAAAAAGTTATAGTACACATATGTACAATTTCCTTTTATTTTTCAAACAATACAATCTGATTAAAATACAGGTCATGTGTCCATGCTTTACTTACAAGGATCTGAAAATGATCTGTTCTTCTTTATGTTTTAAAGACCTTTTTAAATCCTCTGGTTGTCATCATTATACACACCTTCTAAGGTATGTAGACAGAAACTTCATTAGGTGATGTTATAATTAACAGAAACAGATCTGTATTTTTATAAGACTGCAAACAAAAGTTCAGTTTACTCATTCTCTACCAATCTTACTGGGACTCTTGTTAAACACTTTTAATAGCAAGCAATTGAAATTTAATATACACCCTGTTACCACATAAATACTCTGTTTAAAAATACAATGTACATATAAAATAACAACAGAACCAGACAGACATTACCTGATACAAAAACAAAAATTTGAATTTTCTTATATTGAATTGACAGAGAGTTAAATGTATATTCATTCAAAATCTATTCCAAAATTTTAGGGCAACACACATGATTTATAGCAAATGGGAATTAACTACAATTCTTTTTTGAATTTTTATAAAGGAAAATCATTCTTTGTTGAGTAGAATAAAACAAATGGTAAATAGAAATTGATTTCTTTGGCATATTTTTATCTTTTATATCTATCCATCAGTCTGGAAACGAGAGAAGCCGGGACATCATATTTTTATCTTTTATATCTATCCCGATGATCAGTCTGGAAACAAGAAAAGCGGGGACATATTTTTATTGTACATATAATACGGACATACTTTAAGCAACATATCCAGTATGGCTGCCTTTGAGATGCATAAGTCTACCTTACTGATAGAAAATAAAACATACAAATAAATATATCTTAAAATTGAGAACCTGCAGTTAAAGATATTCAGACATTTTTTAGTTTCAAAATAAAGTGAATACAAAATTAGAAACTAATTTAAAAACAACTTAACTTAGTTAGCATCTTAACTTAACAAACAAATAAAATTTGAAAGACTGAATTAAAAAAAGATGTACAACTGAACACATAATTTAGAAATTTCACTTATACAATAACCTGTAACCAATTCCTGTAATGGATTCCTAATTATACAAATCATAACAGAATTATAATCTGAATTTCAGCATCATCACAGTAAATAAGAGAAAAGGCATAAAAACAACTATAGCACCTTGAGCAAATCAAAATTAAGTCTGTTTTTTTCACAGGTTATCTCCCCTCCATCACTATCCGCTCTGTTGGGACTGATATAGAAAGGAATTCAATGTGGATTATCACAACTGTGTAGAACATTATACTTAATCTTTCTCATCTGGAAACAATTCCTTTTTCAATCTGAAGTATGCCTCTAATCGACAAACAGCATATTCCTACAAAAAGTATGATGTCTTTATGTTAGGTTATCAAAATAACTTGTATGTCATAGGGTTAGTTTATACATAATATAACTTGTATGTCATAAGGTTAGTTTATACATAATATAACTTGTGTGTCATAAGGTTAGTTTATACATAATATAACTTGTATGTCATAAGGTTAGTTTATGCATAATATATAACACTATGGATTCATTATCATTTGTTGGATACCAATTTTCATGTTTTTAGTGTGTATAGGTAAACAAGAAATTAAATGTTTCACAAAGTACAAATTTTCTTTGGCATATATGTAGGCTTTGGAAAAACCACAAAATCAAATATTCATGAAAAAACAATTTTCTACAAATCCATGAAAATTGGTATCCATGAAAATAAATGAATCTACAGTAAATATTATAAGGCTATATAACTAGAGGTTCTAAAGAGCCTGTGTTGCTTACCGGCATCTTCAACAATGGCCACTTTTGAGTAAAAATCATCATTAAAGGGGAATAACTCTATCAAGAGTTAACTGATAATTTTAGTCATGTTGGCATACTTGTAGATCTTATGCAGCTGATAATTTTTCCTCTTTACTGTTTCTATTCATCTATCATAGTTTTCAAGACAATTGGTAAAAAAAGTAAAAAAATGTAAAAAATTATCATTAAAGGACAATAACTCCAATAATGAGTCAACTGAAGATTTAGGCCATTATGGCTTATTTGTGGGTCTTGTCTTGCTGATCATTTGTGCTATTTCAAGTTTCTATCTATCTATTAGAGTTTTCAAGCTTATAGGCAATAAACTGCTTCGCCGAGCGCAGCTGGATACGACCGCAGAGGTCCAACCCTGAACAGTTGGGGCAAAAATGGACACAATATTCAAGCTTGATACAGGTCTGAATTTGGATTGTAATTAAATATTTGACACATTATAGGTTTCTAACACAGAATAAATGTAGTAAAAAATTTTGAAATTGGTTGTATGATTTGAATTTATATTCAATTGAAGATTTCTTCCTGTTGTGCAATACTTAGTAAATCTGTTTTCAGACTATATACAAAGGATTAGCAAAAAATTGTGACCCCCAATTTTTTTCTTTGGAAAATTGAGTTTCTTTCTTTATACATAATTTAAAAGCAGTGTAAGGGAGGTAATTAAAACGTTGTGTTTGGATTACCTCCCTTACACTGCTTTTAAATTGTCTTAATTGTCCATTAACCAGGAAACCCTTGTTTTTCCCCTTTTTTTGCCCCTAATTCCTAAATGGTTTTAGCCATAACCCCCCAAAGCAAATCCTAACCATCCCTTAGTGGTATGGAAACTTGTGGTATAATTTCAGAGAGATCCATACACCGTTCCACAAGTTATTGTCTGGAAACTAGAAAAATGCTTATTTGGGCCCCTTTTTGGCCCCTAATTCCTAAACTGTTAGGACCATAACCCCCAAAATCAATCCCAACCTTCCTTTTGTGGTTATAAACCTTGTTTTTAAATTTCATAGACTTCTATTTAATTATACTAAAGTTATTGTCCGGAAACCAACTGTCTTCGGATGATGACGATGACGTGATACCAATATACGACTGCAAAATTTTTTGCGGGTATAGAAATGGGAAAAATTGTCATTAAAGGGCAATAACTTCAATAAGGAGTCGACTAACAATTTTAGTCATGTTGACTTATTTGTAGATCTTGTCTTGCTGATCATTTGTGCGATTTCAAGTTTTAATCTATCTAATATAGTTTTTAAGATATCAGGCAAAAAAGCCAAAAAATTGTAAAATGGTCATTGTAGGACAATCACTCTAATAAGGAGTCTATGATTTCAGCCATGTTGTTTTATTGTAGATCTTTTCCTGCTGATCATTTTTGCTTTCAAAGTTTCTGTCTATCTATTATAATTATCGAGATAATAGGCAAAAATTAAAAATAAAATGCTCCGCAGGGCGCAGCTTGATACGACCGCAGAGGTCGAACCCTGAACAGTTGGGGGAAGTATGAACACAACATTCAAGCTTGATACAGCTTTGGATTTGGATTGTGATTAAATATTTGACACAGCATAGGTTTCTAACACAGATTGAATGTGGTCTAAGAACTTAAAAATTTTAAAATTGGACATTCACCTATTATGGTCCAATATCCAAAATCTAAATACATGGTTAGATTCAGCATATCAAAGAACCCCAAGAATTCAATTTTTGATGAAATCAAACAAAGTTTAATTTTGGACCCTTTTGACCTCAATGTGGACAAAGTTGATAACGGGGCCCAAAAATCAAAAATCTAAATCCATGGTTAGATTCAGCATATCAAAGAACCCCATATATTCAATTTTTGTTGAAATCAAACAAAGTTTAATTTTGGACCCCTATTTGGACCAACTTGAAAACTGGGCCCATAATCAAAAATCTAAATACATGTTTAGATTCAGCATATCAAAGAACCCTAAGAATTCAATTTTTGTTAAAATCAAACTAAGTTTAATTTTGGACCCTTTGGACCTTAATGTAGACCAATTTGAAAGCGGAACCAAAAATTAAGAATCTAAATACACGGTTAGATTCGGCATATCAAAGAACCCCAATAATTCAATTTTTGATGAAATCAAACAAAGTTTAATTTTGGACCCTTTTGACCTCAATGTGGACAAAGTTGATAACGGGGCCCAAAAATCAAAAATCTAAATACATGGTTAGATTCAGCATATCAAAGAACCCCATATATTCAATTTTTGTTGAAATCAAACAAAGTTTAATTTTGGACCCCGATTTGGACCAACTTGAAAACTGGGCCCATAATCAAAAATCTAAATACATGTTTAGATTCAGCATATCAAAGAACCCTAAGAATTCAATTTTTGTTAAAATCAAACTAAGTTTAATTTTGGACCCTTTGGACCTTAATGTAGACCAATTTGAAAACGGAACCAAAATTTAAGAATCTAAATACACAGTTAGATTCGGCATATCAAAGAACCCCAATAATTCAATTTTTGATGAAATCAAACAAAGTTTAATTTTGGACCCTTTGGACCTCAATGTGGACCAATTTAAAAACGGGGCCCAAAATCCAAAAACTAAATACACGGTTAGATTCAGCATATTAAAGAACCCCATGAAATCAAGAATAAAACCCCATTGAAATTGGTCAAGAAATAAGCAATTTATAGGAAGTATCTTCTTTTGCACAATCCTGTGCTATTAAATATTTCTTGCTATTGCGCAATACTGTACAATTGACAATTTCTTGCTATTGCGCAATATTGTGCTATTGGATATTTCTTGCTATTGCGCAATACTGTGCAATTGAAGATTTCTTGCTATTGCGCAATACTGTGCAATTGAAGATTTCTTGCTATTGTGCAATACTGTGCAATTGAAAATTTCTTGCTATTGCACAATACTTATTATATAATAATTTACACATCCTGTTTGATGTGTATCTCCTACCATATCATTATTATTTGATTTTAAATATAAATCAGAAATAACCAACTTAAAATGGAAAATTTTAAAAGAAACAAAAAAGGAAAAAAAGAAAAAAAAGGAAAAAAAAATAAATCCCCCCCCCCCCCAAATTTTTTGAACCCCCATTATGATTCATCACCCCGAAACTCAATCCCAGCCTTCCCTTTGTGGTATGGTACCTTGCAGTACAATTTCAGAGAGATCCATACACTTGAACACAAGTTATTGTCTGGAAACTAGAAAAAAATGTGTTTTTTGGCCCCTTTTTGGCCCCAAATTCCTAAACATTTAGGGCAATTACCCCCAAACTCAAACCCAGATTTCCCTTTGTGATATGGAACCTTGTAGTACAATTTCAGAAAGATCCATACACTTACACACAAGTTATTGTCATGAAACTAGAAAAATGCTTGTTTTTTGCCCCTTTTTTGGCCCCTAATTCCTAAAATTTGGAGGCAATTACCCCCAAAATCAATCCCAGCATTCCTTTAGTGATATGGAACCTTGTGGTACAATGTCAGAGAGATCCATACACTAACACACAAGTTATGTCTGGAAGTTACAAAAATGCTTATTTTTGGCCCCTAATTCCTTTACTGTTATTACCATAACCCCCAAAATCAATCCCAACCTTCCTTTTGTGGTATTGAACCTTGTGGTAAAATTTCATAAAGATCCATTCACTTAAACTAAAGTTAGAGTGCGAAAACCAATGTGTCTTCGGACGACGCCGGACGACGACGACGACGACGCCAACGTCATACCAATATACGACCACAAAAATTTTTTTGCGGTCGTATAAAAATGGTAAAATTCATCATCTAAGGGCAATAACTCCTTCAAGAAGTCGTCTAACAGTTTTGACTTAAACGAACAATAGGTAGAGCTCAATATTCTGAACATTTTTGCCGTCAAATTTTCTCTATTCATAGATTAGTTTTCAAAATAATAGGCAAAACTTGCATTTTACCCCTATGCTCTATTTTTAGCCATGTCGGCCGTCTTGGTTGAATAGCGGGGTCATCCGACACATTTTTAAACTATATACCCCAATGATGATTGAGGCCAAGTTTGCTTAAATTTGGCCCAGCAGTTTCAGAGGAGAAGATTTCTGTAACAGTTAACAGACTTCGATGGACAACAATTAAGTGATGAGAACAGCACACTTGGCCTTTTTAGGCCAGAAAAGCTAAAAATGGAACTTAAAACTGACAAGCAGTATCTGTTTAGCCATTTAGATCCTGTATTTGGAACAATCTTTGGTCATTTCTGTTAAATGTATTCACAATGTGCCTAATTTGACATATGACATATACACTAGTTAAGAGTTTATTGTTGAAGACCATATGAAGATCTCTAGTTGTATTTTCTGGTCTTGTTGTGCTTTAAAGTTGCTACCTCATTGATATATACATATATAGATTATACCACTGCATCGAGCATGATACAAGATTTCTCCACTTGAGACAGTTAAATTTTCAAATTTCAATATTTTAAATTCAACTACCGAAATGGAGGAATATCCAATTGCATGAGATTTGGCGGTAGAATCTGTTTTTCTAATGGTTTTTTAAAAGATATGCAGACAAACCTAATCCTACCTTTTTAATGAACTGCAAAAACATGTGATCTTTCTTTGTAAGGTCATCATGCATGGTCGCCTTTTTTCGAGATGTCACAATAGGAAATCAGAGGAAAGCAGGAAATTTGATGTCAGAATTTTGATCAATAAAGAACTGAGATGAAACTAAACACACCTTGATCATTACACGTTGATTAAATAAAAATAATCAACAGGTAAAGAAAAGGATAAATTGGCTAAGAATTAGCAGTGGTAGAATATAGATTCTACCACTGCATCGAGTGTGATATGATATTTATCCACTCGAGACAGTTAAATTTTCAAATTTAAAACGCGAGGCTCACCGAGCGTTTTAAATATTTAAAATTTAACTGTCGAGAGTGGATAAATATCATATTACACGAGATTTGGTGGTGGAATCTGTTTCTCTAATGATTTTCAAACAATATGCAGGCAAACTTATTCCGTCTTTTCGAATGATCTGTAAAAAGATGTGTTCTTTCTATGTGACGTCATCAGGCATGGTCGCCTTTTTTCATGCCGTCACAATAGGAAATTCAGAGGAAAGCAAGTAAATTCGATGTCATAGTCGGATTTTAACCAATGAAGAACTGAGATCAAACGAACCACACTTTGATTAAATTTTTTTTATACAATGGATGCAGAAAGGGATAAATTGACGAAGAATTAGAGTAACATATATATATCCCAAACACTCCTATTATTCATCCATCTACCATGTGTACTGTATATGAATAAAAGGAGATCTCTTCAGACAGCACGCCAAAGACACAAAACCAAAATTGGTTGCCAAATACAGATGAAATATAGTTTGTATTAACACTTTTTCATATACATGTAAGAGACTTTAATATGTTATAATGTTTTAACACCCAATCACTGACCTTAACTATTTTAACCAACAAATACTGGTATCAGAACACTCTTATATCGACTTTTGGTATGACTATAGCATGATTTTTTTCCACACAATTTCAGCATTGAAATGGGACTAGAAAGATCTGGCTTTTTCACCACATCTCCTTATTTTTATATAGTATCAACGGTTTCATCGCATTAACTACATGAAGCATTGCAAACAAATATTTGTGCAAAAGGGCAATTATAAAGCCTGATCTCAATGAATTGAATGAAATTATTTCTGTACAATTAATTTTCCTGAACTAATCCCCAATACCATTTCTGTCATTGGCCTTTCAGGGACATATCTGGCAAATACATGTATGACTGGTTCCAGACCCTTGGACTATCAACCCAAATTTTGGAGCCAAACACAATTGGTTATTCCTCAGCCAGTTGCATGAATAACATGAAACTCACCAAATATCCAAACTGAATATCCGACTTGTCTCTCTGGACGATTGACCAGACTAACCACATTAGATGTGAAGCTAAGGCACATGTATTAGCCTCTCTGTATAATGTCTCTAGTATTTCATCTGTACAGGCCTCATTCTTAGCATCTAAGTATGCCCTGAAGAAATGGAACTGAAATAAAAGGAAAATCCAAATTAAATAAAAATACACTGTATCATAAATATATGCTATATGTAATTATAATGTCTCAACATTTCTACAGTGGTTTATCATTCAGATACTAGAAAACTTGAAATTAACACTTTTTCTTTCTTTTTTAATTTACGAAATGAAAGCATGCTTTGAAAACAATACAAGAATGCATGAAGTCTCTGCAATATAATTCAAATTTTAATTACAACTTCATCATATAAATGCTTGTTTCAAATATTCTTTTTTGTCTTCATCAACATACAGTTTATATATAAATATATTTAACTGGGAAGACAATGTTGACCATAGAATAGACCAATCATGGCTGAATATAATAAATAATAAGCAAACATTAAGTAATTGATTTTCACATGTGAAATAGGCTTTTTTCAAATCAATATTTATTTCCTTTTTTTTTTAAATTGCCTAGCTATATGACATTAAGACTAAATTTGATCATAAGGGAGGTAATTCAGTCAAAAGCTGAATTGAGTTTGATAACTTAGTATTTCAAAAATTTAAATCCCAATTATTATAAGTAAGGAGATACCCAAACAGACATACCATAGCATATAATATGTCACAGATTGATGTAGAAAGCTATCTTTTTTACCAATCTTTATTAATGATTAAATATCAGCCCACTAATTCATCTATACTAATCCAGACTGGCCAACATTGTACTTATGAAAATTGAGGAATGATAAACCACTGTATTTGAGACAATTGATGGGGTAGGAATTTCTCTGTTGGTTTCCTGAAAACATAACTGATACTCACTTGTTCTTGTTTAGATGGGTAAGATTCTTCATGGTATGAATAATAAGGCATTTCTTGTTCACTTTGATAGTCTAAGCACCACTCACAAAAGTGATTACCAAAATCAAACCCTCTGAAAACAATAAATAAAGATATACGATTAATAATTGAGTCTAAGCTGAGATGCCTTGTTAAAATCTCTGGAAGGAGTAACTTGGATTTTAGACTCGGACCAAAAATTGGTAATCCACATAAATTACACTACCGGATTTAGCCGTGTATAGTACGCACTTTCTTAACCCTAAAAATGTAGTTGATAAGAGGGGTTGCGTATTATACACAACTACAGATGGTTTTTGATTTTGATTTTTTAATTTAAATTTTTTTTTTTAATCTTCATTTTGTATATATATTCAAGACATTTCTTTTTCTATTTATTTATTTGTAATCTTTTTTTAATAACGTTTTTAAATAGTCTTTTTTTTTAACAACATAAAAAGGACTTTCATTCTGGACAGATTATCTATATCAATAAATAAAAGTGGAAAATACTAGCCACTTAAACATGGAATTTTAAACAAATTGATTCCAAATGGAGCCGTTGCCATTAAAAGAGTTGACATTTTCTTCATGTTAAAGATAAAACCATCTTCGCTCTCATCCCATATGGATTTTACTGACCCCATATATATCGTATTATGTCACTAGCACACTATGCAACTAATAGTGTTCTATTTCAATATTTCTGTCCCCATAGTTACAACAGTATATAAATGACTCTCATTGAGAATATTTCATTTCGACAAGAAATGTTGTAATACATAATAATATATGACCTAACCAAAGCTCCATTTATGACAAAACCAAAATGATTTTTATAAGCATTTTTTTTGTCAATGCCATTTGACTAAAAGTGATCAATAACACTGTTATATCAATATATTTTCTCCAGGGTTTTAGCTAAGCTGCTTCCTTCATAAGTTTTGTTTAAAGTAAAATATACAAAATGTATTTTGGAGGACTATATTATATCAATGAAAAGACCTGTGAATACACCAACACCACCCCAGGTAAATAATTGTCTGCTTTGATTATGACATACACATTTTTAACTACACTACATTTGATGGAGGTTGGAAATGAATGTTGTTAGACTTTGTGATGATGTACTGTTATATTAGTATAATTATTAATAAAGTATTACCTAGAAGTAAGATCTACCATGCCATTCACCAACTAAGCCAACTAATCAAGCTAGACATAAAAAAGAATCTATAACATGGAATATGTTAAGTGCTAAAACACTTTGCTGATGAAGAACCATTGAAGAAAAAAATAATATGACCAGTTAATTTTCAAAGGACTAATAATTAAGAATTTTCAGTTAAAAGAGTTTTGCTAGTTGATTTCATTCATAATTGCTTGCCATAGCTCTCTGTGATCACTTTAAACTGAATCTGAAGATTATGAGAGTGTAACAGGAGAGCAATATGACCCCCTTATAATTATCCTTGAGATCACCACTCAAATCCACTGTGCTAAAGATGTAATTCCCTCGTTGAAGCAATTATGGCTAGCTTACTATTCAATGAACCAATTTATCCATCATATCAACTCTATCCACTAGTTGGGTGCCATATACAACAGACGAGTATGATACAACACTGTCACCTCCAGAAATCAAACCTAGGTCATCTGTGTTAGAAGGCTTAAAGTGACTGAGCTAAAGAAATATTTCATACGCTAAACTGATTACAGTTAAGACTGATTGATTGTTGGTGTTTAAAGCCACTTTCAAGAAAAAACCATGACCTTCGGCAGGAAAACTGAGAATCGCAGTTTACTGAGATTGGAGTCAAAACGCACTTGCCATGTGCGGGGTTTGAACTCACAACCTCAGTGTTGACAGACTAGGAATACAGTTAATAAACTACTTAGACCACTAGGCCACCTAGGTCCCATCTACAGTTAAGAACTGTTAATTCAGAAACTATTACGTGCATTTAATACTGCAGTTGTAAAACAATAGACACAAATGAGAGTTTTATTATTGAGATTTTAGGAAAAGCTAAAATAATGCTGTCAAAATTCATTTTTGCAACACCAGTATCAAAACATCGCAATAATTTCTGAATTTACAGTATCTACATCTCAAGCCAATGTGCACTAAACTATACTTCTATTTATGACTTAACATAGATATAAACAACAGCAAACTTTGATGCTGCATACGATGATTAAATAAAGTAGGCCTGGGTGAATTGAGAGAACCCTTAAAATCACTACTATGTTTGTAATAGGCAGATTCATCATAGCTGTTAAAGCATTCATATGAAATAGTATCAAAATAATCTGTGTTAACTAGAAGCTTAGAATATTTATAAATGAATATGACTTGTATAAACATACCGTACATGTAGCAGTGACTTTTAAGAATAACATATCTAACCCAGGCCTACCTTCTTTAATCGAGATATTTAAAATAGACCCCTCTGAGAACATACCTATAGTTATAACTGCAATACTCTAGATCTATAACAGTCAGCTGTTTTTCTGGGTCTTTACAATCTTTCATATATAAAAGGTTTCCTGAATAAGAAAAACTAAAATGAGTATACCTGTCAAATTATTGGATTCATTTATTTTCTAAGCACACTTCAGTTGTGTTCTTAAATGCTAAAATTTCTTGAAAAAAAACTAATAAAAATGTTACATGCTTCCAAAACATTTAACAATGTCTCCTTTTATTCCAACAATTAGTTCTGCATTATCTTTACAGAATGGCTCCCAAATTTTATAAAGACTTCAGGCAACTACTATATACCCAAACCCTGTACAATGCACCAGCAACTCTTTTCACAAAAAATCTTAAGAGTAAAAATACTCGTAAGTCATACACATTTCAGTATAACTTACGACTAATTTTAATCGTAAGATTTTTTGTGAAAAGAGTCGCAGTATCTTTTCTTGTTAAGCTTTATGAAATTCAGAAGTAAATTTCACAAAAGTGTGCATTATTTACACCCATCATGTTGTAACAAATAATTCTAATGCAATTTTGCATATTTCAAGGCCATTTTACATCATAATAAAATTTTAACAAATATTATTGAACTGATTAAAATATTTGCTTGTTAAACTTCAAAATGCATAACTGAACTTTACTTGATATTATTGTTATTTGTACAATATGGTACAACAGACCACTGTATTATAATAACATAAAACAAGAAATTACTTAATAATTTGTTATTTACATGTATATATAACTTTCTTAATCTGTATAACAACCAGCCTATCTTATTACTTAGACCAAGACAAATTCATGTCTTTCATTAATCATAAAACGAGCAGGAGTTGGGTAATTTAATTAAAAGCTCGGCTCATCCAAAACAATCTACAATGATCTATATTTAATGATTTACAGTGGCTGTGGTGTCATCTGTTTTATTACAAGGGAATATCAAATCAATAAATGAATGTATATAAGTTTTCATTACATACCAATATTATGGCATATGTTACACTTTAACAATCAATGAAGGTCATGTTATTCTATTAGTCATATCACAAATCTTCCCCGTTCATTGACCGGTATACAGAAATGAATGTCAACTAATTACAAAAGATATTTCACTAGATGAGCAGTACCTATGTGTATGTTCATGTTGTGTATCCCCTTCTAAGAAAATATGGGAAGGTATAGTAGAATGATTTCCAATGAGACAACTATCCGTAGACCAAATAACAAAGATGTGAACAATTACGAAACACTGGTATACAGACACAAACATTTATCTGCTTCGGGATTGTTACCACATTTTATTTGTTAAAATTAATTAACTAAATTTAGATATAAAGTAAAACATCCTTGTTTCTCTCTGATTTTGTCACTATTATTTCATGGAAAGTGAACAGTTTCGCTGAACTAGTATACATTATTGTTAAGGGGCCAGATGAAGCCCGCCTACCGCAGAGGGACTTTCTTACTGCAATGAAGACCAATTGATGTGAAAAATAGGTCAGTATGTTTATAAAATCATTAATACTGTGAAAATTAAAGAAAATCCTGAAGAGAATCAAATACCAGTTCCCTAGCACAACCTCAATACATATATATACATATATATATAAATATATGTACAAGAGTTCTACAAACTAAAAAGATTCCACATTATAATCTATAGAGAAGTTTGATAAACAATGTGTCCTATATACAGACAGATTGAGTGATGAACAAGATGGACAGACAGATTGAGTGATGAACAGGATGGACAGCCAGACTGAGTGATGAACAGGATGGACAGACAGATTGAGTGAAGAACAAGATGGACAGACAGATTGAGTGATGAATAGGATGGACAGACAGATTGAGTGATGAACAGGATGGACAGTCAGATTGAGTGATGAACAGACAGATTGAGTGATGAACAGGATGGACGACTGAGTGATGAACAGGATGGACAGACAGATTGAGTGATGAACAGGATGGACAGACAGATTGAGTGATGAACAGGATGGACAGACAGATTGAGTGATGAACAGGATGGACAGACAGATTGAGTGATGAACAAGATGGACAGACAGATTGAGTGATGAACAGGATGGACAGACAGATTGAGTGATGAACAGGATGGACAGACAGATTGAGTGATGAACAGGATGGACAGACAGATTGAGTGATGAACAGGATGGACAGACAGATTGAGTGATGAACAAGATGGACAGACAGATTGAGTGATGAACAGGATGGACAGACAGATTGAGTGATGAACAAGATGGACAGACAGATTGAGTGATGAACAGGATGGACAGATAGATTTGAGTGATGAACAGGATGGACAGACAGATTGAGTGATGAACAAGATGGACAGATAGATTGAGTGATGAACAGGATGGACAGACAGATTGAGTGATGAACAGGATGGACAGACAGATTGAGTGATGAACAAGATGGACAGACAGATTGAGTGATGAACAGGATGGACAGACAGATTGAGTGATGAACAGGATGGACAGACAGTTTTGTTGATTTATTGCTGATTACTTAATGTCCAGTAGGAAATATGTCATGTTTTAATTCAGGAAAAGCACAAATTGGGTTTTCAGAAAAAGTGGGTATCTAAGAAAGGGTTAGATATTTTGTACTGCACAGCCAAACAGACATCTTTTTTAAATAGGTTTTACTACCAGATGGGATGTCAACCCTGGAGGTTACTTCAGTATTAACAGGGGTAAACTAATATTTGAAAATTTCAAGAAAGAAACATTTTCTGGTCAATGATAAATACTGTATATGCTCTCACCTTCTTGTAAATCATTGTGTGAAAATACAACTGGTGACTTCAAATCTTCTATCTTCTTCCTGCATAAAATAAACATAATAAGGGTTACATTCACAAATACATGGTAGAAATAATTTAGTTTATTTTTTTTATGGTGTCATTGATAAAATTGTGCAATTTCAACTCATCCTACTGATTAAGAAACAAAAACTTATCAAATCTTAAAAGTGGGTCTCATTGGGGTCTAAGCGTGATGCGGGATTGCCGAATTTTGTAAGCGTGACAGTCAAATTATTGTGCCGTGAAAATGGAAAATGAAGTCTAGCGGGATACGGGAAATTACAAAAAAATGAGAATTGCTTACATACATAGTGTAAGCCGGATACAGGAATCTGACAAAACAGTAAGCAGGACCCAGGATCAGAAACCCCCAATGAGGCCCCCTTAAAAATAAATGTGTAATTAAGTTTATGGAAATGTTAAATTTCATTCATAACCATGACAACAAAAGTAAAACAATAAATTTAAAATTAAACAAAAAATCTAGTCATATAGCAAAATTACCATGAATACTTTAAAACTACATTTTAAATTTATTGTTCCTATGTTTATGGTCATCTTGATTTTACTAGCAATGTTTATTTATTTAATCTTTTCACTGACGCAGTCAGTAATGATTTCGGTTTGTGACCTATTTTTAAAGGACGCTTAACTATGGTAACGGCATGCATGATGTCCCAAATTTTTACTCTGATTGGACGAAATTATGGATTTGAACAAATACCAATAAAAAAAGATATATGCTATAATAAAAGGAAAACATTTCAGACATAAAATCGAACTTAAAAATGAAATTATCCAGATAAATACAAATACAGTCAGGTAAAGAAAGTGTCATTATCACCACTGTCAAATAGTTTGGATTTTGTAAGCTTAGCCTTTTATACATGAGTAGGTAAATATCACTTACAGGTTCATTAGATCTACCGGGTCAATCAGGCTATTAAATATCTCAAGAGCAAGTGCAGTCTAAAAATTCCAAGGCGTAATAATAATCTCAAAGAGTACAAAATATTATACTTGAAGTGAAGAATGTCAAAATACATATATCGCAAATTTAATTACTTTTCAAAAGCTGTATTATATAGATCATCTCCTTTGGCGTCTGGCCGTCCCTGATATACATACCGAAAATAGGTTGTATCTCTAATTGTTAAAGTTGTGCTTGACATATAGTTATAATTGACATTTCTTCGTGGATCTAAACTGTTTCAAGTTTGTTCTTCATTACAGATCGTAACCTAATAATAAGTTATTGTCTGGAAACTAGAAAAATGCTTATTTTTGGCCCCTTATTCCTTAACTGTTGGCACCATAACTCCCAAAATCAATCCCAACCTTCCTTTTGTGATATTGAATCTTATGGTAAAATTTCATAGAGATCCATTCATTAAACTAAAGTTATTGTGCGAAAACCAATGTGTCTTCGGACAACGACGACGACGCCAACATCATACCAATATACGACAGCAGAAATTTTTTGCGGTCGTATAAAAAAAGGAGAAGTGATATGATTACCAATCAAATGAGACAACTATTCTCTAGAGAATAAAGGAAAAAGGTGTCACCCTACGGTCTTCAACAATGAGCAAAACTCATACTGTACAGCAAGCTATATGTTTGTTTTCTTGTGCGACATTTTCTGCTTTACTTGTTACACTATAATATAATTTAAAGTTAAAACTCTGATTAATTGATAATTTCTATCATTTACTGAATAGATTAACAAATGACGGCTTCTGGTCCAATGTCAGTAAAATACAGCACACTAGTGGCCCTCTATTTGTTGATAAGAAGGATTCAAACTGCAACTCTATGGCAGTAAACCAATCTTTTGGAAGACGTATTCCTGTGCCTGGAAAGACAGTATTTCCAAGCAAATTGTCTGCTAAAGTATATATTATATTAAAAAAAAAAGTGTGAATTTTAAATGGATATTGTACTTCATCACCTTATTTTTTAAATAATGTGTTGTTTACAATTTAAATCAGTCAAATCTTAAAACTTGGCCAGCCAAACCTTAAATGCATACTTTTAAACTTGGTCAGGTTGAGAACTTACAGTATACTTTCTATCAAGGTTGCATAACAACATACAACTATGCCCATTAATACAATCCTTTCAAGTTAAAGTTTTCTTGTGCGACATTTTCTGCTTTACTTGTTACACTATAATATAATGTAAAGTTAAAACTCTGATTAATGGATAATTTCTATCATTTACTGAATAGATTAACAAATGACGGCTACTGGTCCAATGTCAGTGAAATACAGCACACTAGTGCAGTGGCGGATCCAGGGGGGCGGTTCCTGGGGTTGGACCACCCCCCTTTTTTTTGACGATCAATGTATTTGAATGGGGACATATAGTTGGAACCCTCCCTTTATCCTGGGTTAGGAACCCCCTTTTATAAATGGCTGGATCTGCCCCTGTAGTGGCCCTCTATTTGTTGATAAGAAGGATTCAAACTGCAACTCTATGGCAGTAAACCAATCTTTTGGAAGACGTATTTCTGTGCCTGAAAAGACAGTATTTCCAAGCAAATTGTCTGCTAAGGTATATATTATATTAAAGAAAAAAGTGTGAATTTTAAATGGATATTGTACTTCATCACCTTATTTTCAAAATAATGTGTTGTTTACAATTTAAATCAGTCAAATCTTAAAACTTGGCCAGCCAAACCTTAAATGCATACTTTTAAACTTGGTCAGGTAGAGAACTTACAGTATACCTTCTATCTCTGTTGCATAACAACATACAACAAAGCTCTTTAATACAATCCTTTCAAGTTAAAATTCAATGATACCATACAATTCAAATAGACATTTATATGTAAATGTCAGTTAAATGGAACATTATAATATTAATACTTTAGTAGCATAATTTTTAGAAATACTGTTGCTCTTTTTTTTCCATTATACTTATTTATCCATTTTGAAACTGATTGTTCCTGTATTTGTGTTACTTGCTTACTTTTTATTACCATTACAGAAATTATCCAAAATATAAAAAACAATAAACAGTGGCTTGTTATTGCCAATAAGATTCTGCAGGGGCGGCACATCATGAACATGTAAAATATTACTTAGGGAATATAAAGACATTAAATAGGAGTAACTTTGCTTTGAGAAATTATTTAGAAAATTAATAAAAAATTACTTGGACTCAATTTCAAAATGGTAACTTTATGTTGTTGTACTGGTTATATTTGTTGGACTCGGGAGGTGCGATTGGGACGCTGAAGTGTGATTGGAACGCTGAAGTGCTATGGTCTTCGCCGAAGTGCGATGGTCTTTTTGCTGGTCTATATGACACATGATTCATAGTTTTAAATCTACTATCTAGTTAGTATAAAAATTTGCATTCATTATTGTCCATAAAACATGTATGGTATTTTGGTGTCGATGAAATCTTTGTGTATGGTTGCAAGAAAAGAATCTGTAAAAGAACTATCCTTCTGCAATACTAGTAACCCAATTTTGGATGATGTGATAATGGTATATGGATTGGATATCATCTGTAGGTACCCTGCTAATATTATAGTTTCATTTATACCTTTCATACTTTTAATGTACATCGTCTTAAAAGGCGTTTGCAACATTTGAAATAAAAGAGTATATTTCATATTATGTATCTTATACTAAATGAGGGATCGCCCTATTCAATTTTGCTGCCATCTCTCGATGATTTACTAGTACTTAATAACTGAAAATTTACTATAACAAAGAAATTAACATCTATATAGACATGTGAATATGATAAACATTGGAAATATGGTTCATGTAATCCATCACACTTCAGCGTTACCACCAACGCACTTCGGCGTAGCTATCAACAAGAAGTGGTACAATGCCACCATCGCACATCAGCGTGACCATTGAAGTTTGGAGTACCATCAGGGTTCAGAGTCCTACATATTTCCTGTGGAAAATCCTCTTATGTGGAGCAGGATGTGCTAACCCTTCAGCAGCACCTGAGATCACTGTTGGTTGAGTTTGTGTTGTTCAGCAGCACCTGAGATCACTGTTGGTTGAGTTTGTGTTGTTCAGCAGCACCTGAGATCACTGTTGGTTGAGTTTGTGTTGTTCAGCAGCACCTGAGATCACTGTTGGTTGAGTTTTTGTTGTTCAGCAGCACCTGAGATCACTGTTGGTTGAGTTTGTGTTGCTCAGCAGCACCTGAGATCACTGTTGGTTGAGTTTGTGTTGCTCAGCTTATGTATTGTTTTTAAGACTGTTGTTTCATTTTTTTTTCTTGCAATAATTTTGTTTGTCTCTCTTTAACTGATCCCTTAGGTATCATTTGCCTCTTTTAACACATGTCCAAATTCTAAAGTTTGGAATGCAGATTAGACAAGGGCACAAAGGTTTTACTTGGCTTATAAAAATGGTCTTTAAAGTAACATGCATTTAGGTATAGTCTTCTTTTGGAATTTGATACACATGCTGTGTACTGAATTAAACTTAAATTAGTAGAAACCCAGTTGGAGAAAAAATCTATAAGGTAGGTTTTTGTCAGAAGTAGGGGTATGTCTGTACACCCTCAACCAGGGGGAATAACCTCCTGGAAAAACAAAAATTTCTTTAAAAGACTATGAAAGGCAAATTCTAATGATATGTGACTATAAAAGTCAGAGCCACCCTCGAAGACATCCCGACTACAAGCCTGTGAATTGATTATTATACGCATTTATATTAAGACACTACAATATAGAAAAAATATAAAAGATAGGACAAATTAATACTTGTGAATAGCTATTCTCTTCTGTGCCAAGGAGTAACAATATTTTTTTAGAGCACTCAACTAGTAAACTCTGACAAAAATGTTTTAAATAAGTCTTAAATTGTTGAAATTATCTTATAGTATCCATGCAATTGTTATATTAGAAATTAGAAATATTTTGAAAGTTAGAGATCTTTGTGACACGACAACTCTGATGCAGTCAGATATTATCTAACCTAGTTTACTTCTCACCTTGTGTCTTTGAAGTTTGGCCACAAGATGTATCTTTTAGATTTTTAATTGATAATATCCTGATCCTATTAGCCATGTTAGCAGCCATAAATTGCTGTTACAGAATTTGAAGGATTATGGGCAATTTCATTGTTATTCAAAATGAAAATATCATCATGCCACTGAGATTAAATACCCTTTGTTTAAGACATTGAAAGCTGATCGCATTTGGACATTCTTTTGAAAATATTATCCAGAATGCTTCAGATTAAATTGAATTGACAGATTCCTTGTATACGTATGTAGCTAGTACGTTAAGACACTGAAGGCAGATCATATCATTTTGATGTATACTTTTGAAAATATTACCTAGAATGCTTCAGATTCAATTGAATTAATGGGATTTCTTGTATAAATACTTACAATAACCAAGATAACTCTGCCTCTAAATCATAGGATGTTATCTTTTGAATGTTTGGATCAGTATCATCTGGTCTGGTATTGTTCTTAGCTTCGGCTAACCAACTAAATAACAAATCATAACAGCATTTACAAATAATCAACAATCAATCAATTTATATATATTAAGCAATACTTTTACACTGCAGCAGAAGGCAACCGTTTAATTGATAAATTTATGTATACATTATATAAGACTGTAACTAAAGGAATGTTTGTACTTGTGCATGAGAAATAGTCAATGAAAAATCAATATATGTTTTTAACAAGATAAAAGTAGAAAATCTCTAATATAAGAAATCCTCTGCAAAATATATAAAAAAACAAAAGAAAATATCCTTTAAAAGAGATGTTCTTAAACTATTATATAAATATCTTTTGTCGCATGTCAGAGCTTATGTATGATTAAAAGCAGATGTTTGTTATATACAATAACATGTACGTCGATGAGACAGCATGGAAACAACACAAATAACCAAAAGACAGCTAGAGATCAACATACAGTATCAATAATAGACAGGTGTTTATATTACATGTTATTACAGCTCTAATATATGCTGTTGACTCCAATTTTCAAATTGATAACAAATATTAAGTTACGTCATAATTCTATAACACAATGTATGAAGAAATATTTAAAGGACAATTCCTAAACTTGTTGGCTTTATTAAAAATATTGTAGTAAAATCATAATTTTGACCTCAAGATGCTAGTTTTTTTTATACATATACATTTTGTTTTATGTTTTTACATGTAGTTCTTGTCTAAAAGACATTTATCCAATGTCTCCATAAAAGCAAGCTAAAAATATGCATATATTTTAATATGCTTAGTTTAATATTCATGATATTCCACTGCACACTATTATCAGTATAGCTAACTTTTTTTCCACCAATGATCAGTTTATACATCATGTACATGTTATATATGAAAGTCATCAATACTTACTGTCTAGTGAGTTCTCCAAGAAATCTTGGTTCTTTACATAAAGGCATATTCAGTTTATGAATGACAGCCAATTTTCTTGCTATCTTGCTGGATATCTCTGGTTTGTGTAAATCTTTCCTTGTTAAACTCCTTGTCTACAATAAGCATATTCTTACATCATGTACATATATAAGTTTGCTATGCACTAAAAAAAAATTCCAGCCTCATTTGATTGAATGAAATGTTGGAGATTTTGAACAAAGTACTTGATTCTAAAACATAATTTGATATCAATATCTGCAGTCAGAACAATCTCTCATCAAATCATATCCTGCATCTTAATTTCAACAAAAACTTTTCAAATAAATTGTACTACACATATTAACTATTATATTGAAATTGGTTATTTGAGAATAATTAATGACTGTTTGAGTTCAAAAGTGATCTGCTATGTATTTTTTTTAATATTCCTCTATTTTATATGACCGATAAATGTAGCATCATGATACCCTACCATAATTTTTTTCCTGAAATCCTAATTCTGAAACCAATTAATTAATTTTACTGGTCATGATTGTTTTGCATTCATTTTTATCAATTTCTCTTTTAACCTATGTGCTTAAATTACTATAAACATCTGTGATAATCAAAGCAAAGTCTTACTGGAATAAATTCTTCTATTCTTCCATTTGGATACAGTCCATAACATTTTGGTCCCAAGTGTTTCTCGGACAGTAAACAAAACACCACCGAGTTCTGAACAAGGAATTTTAAGTCTTTGGCAATATCACCATACACTCGCAACAAAACAGTTCTTGGTTCATTGTTTTTAGTCTGTATATTGTCTGATAATTCACAGGTATACAAAAGGTTTGTTAATCCACCTCTGAAATAAAAAGATGCAAAAAAATAATAAATGTCCATGTTTATAAACACAATGATAGATTAATATATGTTTAAAGTCAACAATGTTATAAGTGATTCACAATAAAAAGGATTCCATCATTAATTACTGACAACCACTACCTGACAAATCGTTTGATTAACATGTAAGACACACACAGTCAACATGGGCATGGTGGAAGGCGAAATTAATGATACCAGTACAAAGGATAATCATTATACAGTTAAACCAGAAAAGCACTTTCATATCATTAAGCCATAGCCTTATCAGACACATGACAAAAACACAAGTAAAAATGCTCATTACAGAGATGCAACTAATCGTCGGACCTGTCGGCCCCAGGGTCCGACACTTACGGTTGTCCGATTGCCCGGGGCAAGCTAATGCCGTATTCGGACAAGTAAAAACATCATCTTGGTTGTCCGATCGGGCAAGTGAAAAAAAAAGTGTTATATGATTAAAATTTCACAAAATCAATAGTGTCTGTTGTTTTGTCCATAGATTACTCAGTGATAACACCACACGGTCGAGTAAAGTGGTCTTAATCCCCCTTCAATGCGTATATTTCGTCAATTGTTCGCACTGAATTCCCCATTTTACCAAAAATAGATCACGTTTAAAAATATTGGCTAATCAGGCGGCCGCAGCGTTGCTTCGTCATTATCGTTATCCATCGGGACACCACTCGGGCGTTTCCGACGCACATGTTATTCCCACCGACCAATGGAAAGCGGAGGTCTATTTTCGTTGTTCTAACTTTATAATTTGACATCGGATGTGTATTTCCCTAAGATGGAATAAACGTAAAAGCTTGAAAGAGAAAATGAAATTAAACTTTAACAAATTTGTCAGTTGTCAGTTTATCAAGAAGGGTTATTTGAAATGGCATTTCTTAGATAAATTATTATGAAATAAGTATCTCTATGTAAATGATCCAATTCCCGTATATTCATCGATCTTTTCCCTCCCTCCTCGGCTTATATATGCCTCATAGTATATTTTCATACTCCATAATCAATTTACACCCCATATACATGATAACTATTTTATCTGCATGTACTACATTAAAACCACAAAAATAGCATGTAAAAGTTTGGGCATGTAGATTTCACTTTGGACAAGTAAAAGTAATAGGGCACTTGCCCAACTGGACAAGTTGGTATAAAAGTTAATGTCGAACCCTGGGCCCGAGGGGGCAGAAATAATTGAGCAGGTCCGGCATATTGGGCTTTTGTGCTAGAACTAATGACCGGCAGGCAGTTCTCTTGGATTTTTGTAAGATTTAGCATTTTTGGTGCTAACCTATTAGTGGGAATTGCCTTGTTGTAAATTTATTAATTAAAGTTAGTAAGTATGTTTGCTTTAGATGAAAAACATCAATGCTTTGTAGGTCAACTTTCCCGGTAAACAATGGGGATACATGAGATTGGGGAGAGAAACGGCAGTTTTCATTCTTTCTGTAACTGTAACTGTATTGCGAATCTTCTTCCAATAAAGGAGCACCTCAATTGATGAGTAATTATCCACCAAAATAAAAGTTAATGTATTTGAACACTTAAAATGTGTCATTTATTATATGAAAAGTAGTCTTCCATTAAAAGTTTGTGTACTATCATAATGGTAAAAAAATTATAAAATTTTCAAATGTTGCTTTTTAAAGTTTAAACATATTTATTCATGCAATTTACAAAGATATCAAAATATACAAGGATAACAAAAAGTAAGATCTGGAAACAAGCTGCACGCAGCTTATATCAATCTGATTGATTTTTGTAAGTACATGTATCCCTGTGATGAGAGTTGTAACTGGGAACTTTAAAGAGGGAAATTTAAAACTGAATTGACTTTTCAGTCCTCACTTTCCTGAGAAAGATGTAATCAATTAAAAATCTTAGAGCACTGTCAAAAAAACGGAGAATGGCCCTAGCCTGATGTTCAGTGGTACACAATAAACAAATTTAAAATATATTGTAGTAATTATTAAATAAAAGAACTCAATTGAATTTTAGATATTTTCTAAAAATAATCCACTAAAGCAGCTGTCACTGTAAAGACATCCTATCTCAGTTTTCTTACTGTATAAAAGGCTGATATAAAAAAAATGTAGGTCTGGCAAAAATTTGCTACCCTGCAGGCCCCAATGTCTGACAGAAAAAAAAAACTGTTTGCATCTCTGTCATTAATAAGCTCAAAGTTTATTACATTAAATGAAAATAAAAGAAAAATGTGTCCACAGCAAACAGATGCCCCCACTTGTAAATATCCTGCAAATTCAGCAATTTTTCTATTTATAAAGGAACGTTACTCGAGAACAATGTAAGTGACGTTACCCAAATTCAATCCTTGTCTGTGTTTGATGGTAATAGAAGCATTGTGTAGGATGAAACATTTAGCTGAGGCTTACTAAAGATAGAGTGTGGAAATGATAAATTTAGCATTTTCTTTTTCATTTATAAAGGGACATACCTCGAGAACGGTGAAAGTGATCTGTGTTTAATGATAATAAGCATTGTGTACAAGTTTCATAACATTTGGCTGAGGGAAACTTTAGTTTGAGAACGAGAAACTAATTTCGGGATGTACAGATACACTGACAGACAGATAAGGGTAAAACTCAATGCCCCCTCCGCTACATATTTTGTATACCGGTAAGACATTAAACTTCTTAATGTAATATCACATATATAATCATGATAATGTGAATAACTTTAACCTTTATAATCATGATAATGTGAATAATTTTAACCTTTGACAGATGACTGCAAATAATAAATACAAGTCCTGAGTTTTTTAGCTTAAAAAACATATTTTGATGCAGCAAGGCAACTTATCTTAACATTGTTTTAGCTACATGTTATAAGATTACAGTTTCAGTCATGGATTAACATCATTTTTTTTTTTTATGTTTATATGATTTTATAAAAAATTTACAACACTTGAACTGTCCAACTGACTACATTTCATCAAAACTTGATCAAACATAAAGAAGGAAACTTTGTTTAATCTACTTCCTTAAGCAAGTTTATTTTCTTATATGCGATAAAATGTTATTTGGATTTTATATTCTTGGACAGATATATACATGATATATATACATGTATGTTCTTCTCATGATATAAAAATGTGATCTGAAATAAAGCCGCCAATATTAGAGTAACTTAGTTTATTTAAAAGTGGCATGATTTCACCTTCATCAGGTTAAGAGAACTTTACTGTACTTTATTTCAGAAGATACAATGTACCAATCACTTGTTATTGTTTTGCTTAAACATGTACATGTGTATTTGATAAAGATTTTATCAGTATCATAAAGTGAAGTGTGTACTGTACTGATTATTAAGTGCATGAAATATATATTCTTTAGAGCAATCACCTCCCCTTGTTATTGCACAGATCTAAAAAAATAAAGTACAGAGGACTCAAAACACTAATACAGCTAACTTTGTCTATTATTCATATGTCCCAAGTCAGAAAATCTTTTGTGGTTGTTTGTTTATGTTTAATGTTTGTTTTTTTTTCATTAAGGAATAAACTGCTGAATTGATCTCTTTTAAATTTATTTATAATTTTTCTCCACTCTGGATAGTTTACTGAGGCTTAACAGCTGTGCATATAAAATAAATAGATAGATACTTGTCTAATGTTAAAAACTGTAAGAGTGTTTGTATTCAAATTTTGTATATCAAGTGATTGAAGTACATATCTCATAGATGAATACCAACAATTAATGTTTCCTGCATCTAAAATGTTATTACAAACATAAGCATCATAAAGTAACCCATCCTCCAATTTGTTAAGCCTGTGTACATATTTTACCATAGATATAATGACAGAAAAAAAAAGAGGAAATCTTGCAACCTCTGATAACACTGCCAAATTTTTTATTTACACCAAGAATATACTTTAGATATCTGAAATCTGATTTTCCAAATAATCATTTATATATATAAATGTAAATTAATTCAAATAGATAATCACTTTTTTCTTGCATTAGCAGCAGAGTTAATCTTAAATGTACCCCAAATTTCACTACAATATAAGAAAATTGGTTTTATTGTGTGATCATATAAATGAATTGTAGTATCAATACTTGGATTACAAGCTGACATGGATTTTTGTAGTTTAAATTTTGCCTTTAAGGACTTTTTGAATAGCTCTTCTTTCCCCTGCTGAAAAAGACCACTAGAAGTAAAGACTATCCCTAAATATTTATATCTGTTAACACATTCTATAGCCTCATTATCTAAACAAAGTGATTCCTTCAAAAATTTTCCAGGCTTGTTAAAAATTAAAACTTTTTGTTTTGGACAAGTTTACATCTAGACACCAATCAATACAATAAGTATGCAGTATATCAAGTCGGTTTTGAAGACCCTGTTTAGTGTTTGATAATATAATAATGTCATCGGCATACATAAGACAATCAATTCTACGCCCATTGATATAAACAGCATCTGGACTCGGCTCAAATCTTGGAGGCAGATCGTTAATGAAAAGCTTAAAGAAGTTTGGGCTTAGAACATCCCCTTGCCTTACCCCAACTAGCGAGCTGAATGATGGCGTTAATACATTACCCACTTTCACTGACATTTAATTTTTTCTTTATTATTCATATGCATGTCCCAAGTCAGAAAATCTATTGTGGTTGTTTGTTTATGTTTAATGTTTGTTTTTTCCATTAAGGAATAAACTTCTGAATTGATCTCTTTTAAATCAATTTATAATTTTTCTCCACTCTGGATAGTTTAGAGGCTAATTAACAGCTTTGCATATAAAATAAATAGATAGATACTTGTCTAATGTTTAAAACTGTAAGAGTATTTGTGTCCACATTCTTCCATTTCTTTGACTTTGGGTGACTGTCCTAAACCCCATATAAGAGACAAGAGAAGAGAAGAGATATATATATATATTGACCATTAACAATGTGAGATGATCTGGAAATTATAAGATTTAAAGGCAAATGGGTAAAATTGTCAGGA